CCCCCAGGTAATTCGAATACTCTTTTGTTAAATTTGCCTGCTAACCGTTTGCATTTCAGTAATGAGTTGGCTCAACGGCCAGATATTCTTCCAATCGCAGAGGAGAACGCTTCCGTGGATAACCGATGGTGTCAACTGCGGGACACTGTTCAATCCGCTATCCAACGCGTCCTCGTCCGCGCACGCCACCAACACCAGGACTGGTTCAACTAAAATGATGCGGTCACTAGCAATCTGCTCGCCCAGAAGAACCGCCTGCACAAGGCCGACGCTGACCACGCTACCAACGCCACGAAAACGGCCTTCTACCAAAGCCGCCGTCATTTGCAACAGCGGCTGAGGGAAATGCAGAATGCTTGGATGACTCGCAAGAGCAACTAAATCAAAAGCTACTAGGACAGCAATGAATGGAAAAACTTCTTCGGTACGAGCAAGGACGTCTACGATCCAATCGTCAAAGGTACAGCTCCTCTGCTCAGAGCTGATGGATCCACCCTACTCACTGAAAAGCACAGATTCTGAAAAGCTGGGCTGAGCACTTCCAAAGCGTACTCAACCGTCCCTCCATCGTCTCCGAAGCCGCCATCAACCGTCTGCCCCGGGCGGAAATCAATGCAGATCTTGACCTTCCACCTACCCTTCAGGAAACCATGAAGGCTGTTCAGCAACCCTCCGGCGGGAGAACACTCGGTTCCGATGCAATCTCTGCGGAGGTTTAGAAATACGGCAGTCACCAACTCATATTCAATCTAACTACGCTCTTTCAGGAGATGTAGCGACAAGGCGAAGTCCCCCAGGACTTCAAGGACGCCACAATTGTTCACCTCTGCAAGTGAAAGGGGAACCACCATTTCTGCGTTAATCATCGTTGTTCAATATCGTCAGCAAAATCTTTGCTCGTGTTTTGCTAAATCGTCTTAACAAGCACCTGGAACAAGGACTCCTGCCGGAAAGCCGGTGTGGTTTTCGTCATCATCGCGGCACCACCGACAGGATATTCGCTGCTCGACAGCTGCAGGAGAAGTGCCAAGAGATGCGCACCTACATCTCCACCACTTATGTGGGCCTAATGAAAGCTTTCGACACGGGGAATCGCGCTGGACTTTGGAAATTCATGCACAAGTTCGGCTGTCCTGAGGACTTAACTCACATGAAACGCCAGCTGCACGACGGTTTTACCTCTGACGATGGACTCCCGCAAGAGTTCGAAAGCTCAGACAAATAAAACTACGATTCTAGTGATCGAAACTTCTTCTTCTCAATCTATGCACATACCTGGGATGCGAGCCTCAATTCATTTTTAGTACTAGCATCAATAGTTAGTAGTAACTTGATATTAGTTTCTAGGCAATTAAGTTCTATCATTTGCTATTCATTGTCATTTGTAAGGCTATTGCTCTTCTTGCTGCACCTCGATTGCACCATCAGCCTAGCCTTAGAATACTACCGCTATAATCAGCAAATTAGTATCAGATCCTAGGCAATCCCAGTCCTGTTATTTGGTACTTGGTATCTTTTGTAGTACTTCAGTTGACCCAATTGTAAAAAAACTCGCCGCATTCGGCAGAATTTGAACCCGCATAGTAGGGAAGGCCTTTACGCGGCCAACGCTTTACCAGTTGGGCTACAAATGCCACACCTTGCACCGTGATTTTAATAACACTTGGATCGATTTTACCGTGATTGAAATCACGGTGCAAGGCGTGACGTTTGTAGCGTTGGCTGCGTAAAGCCCTTTCCTGTTATGCGGGTTCAAATCCCGCCGAATGCCGAGAATTTTGTCACGATTGAGTCAACTAAATTAAGTAAATCTGCTGAACCTCCTAAATAGTTTGAAGAACTAGTACTCTATTCGTTACTGTTTCGTTGAATTTGCCTATCAACCACCTACATTACTGTATTTGCTTTATGATGTCTGGTGTGTTTTGTGCGCTCTGCGGCCGGTGTGAGACCGGACCAACAGGCCATGCTGGCCGCTTTCCACGCCACGCCGCGAAGCCTGGAGCAACCCGATAATCGTATCATGACTGTCCCACGCTTCTTAGCAGAGTACGGGCATGAACTGACGCTGTAAGAGCGGCT